ATTTCACATCTCGTGCAGTCATGTCCACACAGTATGTCATTACTATCGTGTCACCGTGGACCATTTGAGTTCAAATGTTTTTTCAATTCAGTCCTACATCAATGCTTACTCTATCATCATAATGCCGCTTCCAGATGAGTCTAAATGGCCTACTTTAGGGTACGAGATACTGAGGCCAACGCCAAGACAGAGCACACGAACCGGCCAACCTACGAGAACCCGCTATCCGAATAACATGAACTATCGACCACGGAGACATCAAAACGAGGAATAACTATGTCATGAATTTCAATTATGTCTGAGTTTATGTATTATTAAATTTTACAAATAAGTTAGTCATGGATTGTGTTTTGTAATCTTATTTTTATGAATAAATTGTTATATGTACTTTATTAATAAATTTATTGTATTTTTAAATTTTCTTATAGTAGATTTTTTAACATCTTTATGTACGTTTCCTTTATTTTGTAATTAAATTATTTTATTAAATTATTTTATTATAAATAATTTCTAAGTAACAAAAATAAATCGATTTTGTAGAAACTAAAAATTTAAAAAAAATTAATAAAATATTTTTAAAAAAATTTAGAAAGGTTTAAATAAAAAATTTGAACAAAAACAACCATTTAGTTAAGAAAATTAAAATTGGAACAAAAAAATTCGAACAAAAAAAAATTGGAACAAAAAAAAATTGGAACAATAAAGAACCACTCCATTTGCAACAATAACATCAGAACAAAGAACAAAATGGAAGATTTGGAACAAAAAAAATTTTGAACAGTAAAGCACCCCCATTTACAACAATAAAAGCGGAACAAAGAACAAAAAGGGAGACGGAGTTGTTAACTGCGTTTGGTAATATAATGCCAGAAACGAATTAGACTACTCCGTTTGATTAAATAATAACACTTGAAACGGACTAGCCAACTCCGGTTGGTTATATTAGGGAAAGTGAGTATCAAAGCAGCATATAAAGGAATGAGTTGCACCATTTTTACACAAACAGGGAATTCACCCCCTACTACAGTACCTTAAGGCTCCTCCTTAAGGATTTTCAGTCCACTAGAATGCCTTGACCGTGTCAACACCATCATCACGACGGAACCAGTTTTTGCCAATAGGTTTACACTAGATCAACAATACTTCACGCCTTGAAGTATCCAACTAGTTTTGAGGATTTTCCAACGGCTATCCTCAACCGTGCCCCGAAGATTTTCAAGATGTCTTCAACCTAAAGATTTTGCAACGGCTACCTCCAACCGTCTTAACAAGGATTTCACGGATGTCCTTGACCACTTCCGGATATTTCACCACGGCTATCTCCAACCGTTCAATGAAGATTTTGCAACGGAAATCTTCAACCGATTACAAGAAATATAAAAGTTGAATGATATGAATCAACACCGCCTCAAGAATATAAAGTACAAAGTTGGGTCGGTGTGATGATTTCTATACACTCTAACAATTACAACTCTCTTATAGATAATATGAGTGTATATCTCTTTGGATCAAGCTCAATGTGTGTTCAAGAAAATATATTGAAAAAATAGCTCTTTATAGCCTAATAAAAAATCAGAGATTTTTATGAACACAAGAAGAAAAAGTTAAGAGATTTTATCAAAGCTTGATTTTTTTAAAACATTGAAATGGTTTGGTATTTATAGGGATGGATTAGGAGTTGGTTAAAATTGAAAAATAGCTATTAGAGAAGAATAATTAGCTCCTAATAACATAATTAAGATAATCCAACCGTTGGGGGTGAAAAGGACAAGAAATGAGGAACTGGTCTCTGAACGATCTAGCACATTGACAATTTTGGACCAAACGGTCGACCATTCGGGGTAACATTTAGAATCCACCAACGGTTAGTAGAATGGTCGACCGTTCTGGAGAAATGGTTCACCACATCAACCATTCGTTACCCTGTGCGCAATTTTAAAATAAATTTCGTAAAATGTTAATAACTTTTTCAATACTAATCGGAATTGAGTAATTCAAGAACCGACGTTCACAGATTGAGAAGAGCTATAACTTTAGTTAAATATTTTGAAAAATATGTTTTTAGAAAATATTTACCAAATGTATTTTAAAAATAAATACCCAAGTAAAAATATTTTTGTGTGTGTGCAAAAAATTGTTTGAGCTTAGAGATATATCATTGAAATATCTTCAACAACTAAATGACTCTAAGCTACTCTACACTGGTCAAATGTGAGCGAACGTATTGACGCAATCAACGCGTTTTAGTGGATTTTGACGTTCCTGCACAATTGAACAAACATTAGCTCAATAAAGTTATTTGTTAACATCAAAACATGAGATTAAGCATACCAAGGCTAACAATGGGAGATGCGATGGTGATTTTGAAAAATCCTTTGACTTAGATTTTCTATAATCATTTTTAAACAAAATTCTTCGATACCAAATTGTAACACCGCCAACTCGTAAGATCTGATTTGCCCGCGATCCGATGGGTCGGAGGGTTACATAGATGGTATTAAGGACCATCCATTTTAGAAAAACCAAATTCCTTTGACATGTTAAATTAAAATAGAACCATTGGGTGGTATCCGAGAACCTGAATACCTTGTACGTACACAAATCCCTTAAATGATACCTAGGAAGCGCATTAAGCCCGACCACTTCGGTGGTATGCTATTATGTGAATGATTCATACGTCATGCGTAATGAAATGAATGAATATGCAAACCTTTGTGATAAACCAAAAGTATATCATCCTTAATGATGAACATCTAGTATTTCATTTAAATAACCACATTAGATAAACATTTAAGATCAAAAAGGCTCCTGTCCAATTTTTGGGACCGTGACAGTTGACCGTTCTTTCTGGTAGTCGATTGTTTAGTCGCTACGGTTGAGACTCCAGCAATTGACTATACCTCGGCCTGGATAGTTGAGGCGGTGAGCTGCAGAGTAGTAGAACAGTCAACTATACCTACCGATGGTCGATCGTGACCACGACAATTGCTTAGACACTGTGCACGATCCAGCGTCCTTGACAGTGGTCGACCGTCACGATGATAGCGAGCACTTCCGTGTTCTATTCCTAGTACTGTTTTTATACTTTTTGCTTCATTTTCATTCAGTTATCTACATAAATACTTAAACATATATTTACCTATAGATCCTAGATGATTTCTTACTAAGTTCACGAATTCATAGGTTGTAGCGAATAATCAAACGAGTCTCGGACTACGACATAGATTATGAATAAGTTATCCTACAAATTCTAATGTTAGAGCGGCAACGTACTCACCCCTAGAACATGATGATTGATGGATGAAGATGATACAAACGGTGGCACAACTCACTAACATTCAGCGTACAGACTTCCTCCTTCCTTCTCTTCTTTTTTCCTCTTCTAACTGGCGGTCCTCCTCCTTGTGCCGCCGCTGCTGTTTTTACCGAGACAATGGAAAGGAGAGAGTGGGAGTTGGATAGTTTGTTGGTGGAGAAAACAAAGAGAGACAAAGAGGAGAGGAGAGAGGGAGTGTATGTATTAAAGGAAGAATGGTGATGATTTTGAAGATAAGGGAGGGAATAGTGCTGTGTGTAGCACATGTGGGAAAATGGAGAGGTTACTTTTATGTTACTTCGAAATTTAGATTCTGACCTGAACAGTATGTGCTCCCCCATAAACTACTTTAATTTGAAAAACCATTTACGCTTCTGGTATCAGACAGTCAAAACGAGTATTATGACGTAATCAATTAATTAAATTAATCAATTCTAATAGACCGGATTTCAAGGCACTTACACAACATGTCTCGACCGTAACATCGCCATCCCCAACCGATCGACTGCAATGCTTTGCTCGGGATTTATTTCCTCACTATCTAGTGAAGATGGTCAGGCTTGGATCTTCAAACCGTCTCCCCGGCAACGGCGCCAAGTTGATTTGCAGTATAGAACGGGCAAAAATAACAACTAAAAAGAACCCTTGTAAGTAGGGTGTCGAACCTCAGGGAGACGTGAGTTAATTTAATTTAAATAAAAGTTTACAAAAGAAGTTGTAAAATATTTTTGGTCTTTTTTTGTTTTAGAGATAAAATAAAAAGTGTAAAAGTAGAAAGTTCCAAACAACACAAAGTTTTTGATGATGAAAAGTTAGGGGTAGAAATTGGTAAATTAATTGTCCAATGTTTTTATAAAAGTTGGATTATCAATTTATTTTTATATAGAATGTGTGGGGTTGCAGAAAAGTATTTAGGGATGCTCTCGCAGTTCACCTAAATAATAACTACTTCGACTTTAACACGTTAATGATAAATCCGGAGTAATTATTTAGTAACAACGGCAACCATAATTATTTTATTGTATGTTTACCCAATTTAATGGTGTAAAAATACAACTCAATAATTATGTCCACCCGAAAGTCTTCAATCTCGGTTAAAGGTAGAGAAGGCTTACGGTGTATTTAAAAAGTGTTCTATTTTATGATTATATCAATTTTAGCTCATATTCCTTGTAACAATCATGTTTATGATTGGGCCCTTGATTAAAAATCACAAACATTTCAAATTTATTTATTTTTGAATACAACATCTAAATAAAATAAAATTAACAATCCATATTAAAAATATTCAAAACATTAAGATGGACAATTAATTACACCAACTTCTAACCCCAATGGAATTTAGAAGTACATAGTTTGAAGCTTAAACAAATAAATATTTATTACAAACATAAAAATCTTACAAAAGGGAAGATGTGTTCTTGAGCTCCAAATATGATAAATGATGATGAAGATGGAGTAATTTTTATGTGTTTGGATGAAGAAAGTGGTGAGATATTATTGAGGAAGAAGAAGAAATTCGGAAATGGAGAGAGTAGAGAAGTGGGGGGTTCCAACCTCTTGAAGAAGAGAGGAGATGGGATTTTTATAGATGAATCTGTATATACGGATTATATACTAACAGTGCACCAATTGTCAACACAGGTACAGTAGCCCACATGGAAATGAGGCTGTTTGTCACGCCACTTGATCCCATGTTTGATTCCCATCCAGTGTCCAGTAGGAAGTAGCCCTTCATAAAAATATTGGATTAAAAGTTGTTCAGAAATCTGGTGTTGAGGACAGGAGGCACAAAGTTTGTTAAATCTTTCCCAATATTCAGAAAAATTCTCCCCAATCATTTGTTTAATCCCACATATTTCTTTCCTAATTGAACCTATCCTAGAAGCTGGAAAATATTTTTCTAAAAAAGCTTTGTGTAGAGCATTCCAAGTAGTGAAAGAACCGGCTGGCATGTAGTACAACCAGTCCTTTGCCTTATCAGCTAAAGAAAACGGGAAAGCCCTCA